GCGCTACAGGCGAAAAACGATGATAGCTAAAAATTGAATAGAAAAGGAGACGTCGACGGACAAAGTGCCAACGATAGGAAGAAAGACACCACTAGCAAAAGCAGGTAGCGAATCGTAAAGCAAATGGTAGGTCCACGCAAGTTAAGAACTCAACTTTTAGGCTATTTGCAATACGACCTGTGCTGCAGCACGAGCAGCAACAGCCTTAGCGGCTACACCAATGATTGGAACAATGCGTCGGTTTGCTCTGGAGTCAAATCGAGTAGGCTCAACAGAAACGAGCAGCGCCGCTTTTCTGCAGGACCTGCCCACACCTATAGCACGACATGTAAAAGGCTCCGGTACAGAACTGCATTAGGCCGGGTAGTAGACTGGTCACCTTTAGCTTACGACGCCGCCAACGAACGAAAGAACGCAGGACAAAAAAAGATGCCGGGAAAGGCAAGCAGTGTGAAGGCAATGCGTAAAAGTGGAACAAAGATATCTACGTTGTACGGGCACACAAGCAAGCAAGAAAGTAGAAGTGAACTATATACCATTCGGCCTTAACATGACGTTGTCGGTACCATTGCCGGCAATCAGCAGGCGACGCCAGCGAAGGCAGTGATGAAAGAAGAAACCACACGGGCTAGGAATCAGACAGCAACTGTAAAGCCACCGCCTAAGCGGCCGAGATGAAGATCAGTTGGTGTTCAAGAGCTTGGACGGGCAGAAAGAGGGAGAGAGAGTGTAGAAGAATGAAGTGCCTTAAGAAGCAAACTTGATGTAGAATCATTGCTGCTGGGTGGTTTTTGTTGTGTGGCATGACAATGCGCTTCGGCTTTAGCTTTCAAAGCTCAGCTTACTCGCCGGTTATCCAGTAAATGTTTGTCAAAATTTTCCTATTACGGTAGCCCAAAGGCTGGCAGTTTGTGTCAGCTCGTCTCAGCAAGCCAGAACTCGTTCGTATGATCAGCTCGTTTTTAATACTTCGAAGTGACTGAAGCTTGAATTGTTGTTCCTCTTTTTATATTATGGTGGGGCCCGTGTGAGGAAAACGCTGAAGAGATGAAGATGAAACGAGAATGTATCTAGTTCTTTATAATGTAGCAGCGCAGACCCCGCAAGCCACTCAAGCTATGGTTCTCAAAAACGGAAAGCGATTCCTTTTACGGGAGTAATATCACGAGTCGAACGACCCCTGAGGTTGGCCTTTTCTCGAGAGCGGCGCTCAGTCTTTTACTAATCTGTCGAAAAATATGCGAAGCCCGCAAGCCATGACACTTCCCCAACAGAAAGCGTCAGCGCACAGCGGTGGCTCATCACACCAACGTACTCATCTGATTGGTGTCGTTGTCCCGAGCTTCGCAGTCTTGCACAGGCCGCAGCCTCGGCCGACACCTCCACAAAGGCCCACTTACCAGATAAGCTACTCGAGGCTAATAGCTCCTATTAACGGAAGCCCGAGGCGCAAGGCCTGAGAACGCAGGACGCACCCGCTGTTTTATACTGACTGGTTTGCTGCTTTTGGCGGCAGGACAGGCCTTTCGCGTGAAGCAATTCAACGATGCCAGAGGACTGCAAAGCAAAGTATCCGAATATAGTTAAAATCGGGTGCTTGAAACTACATTAAAGACCAGTGAAGGAAATGTGCATTAGACGCGTAAGGTTTTCGTGTACCGCTAAGGATGGAGCTGCATAACAACGGGACATGGCAACAGAGCGCGGTATGACTTTACACCTTCGCCGCCGTGGTTGAGATGGAAGAGTAAATGAAGGCTCCGTTGTAAACTATTCAGGAGGCGCTGCTATAAAACAAATAACTACCAAAACTTTTCGATGCACTGTGGTTCGACTCCGTATATTGACACTTTAGATTCGGAAAAAATAAAAGCAACGGGTTAATTTGTAAGACTATAAGGGCATCGTTTAATAACTCACAAAGAACTTTCGAATGAACAAAACTTCGTACGCTCTATTTGCCTTTCGAAATTTGGGTGTGAAACAAACAGCTCAAGATGCAATCCCTCTCTCTCTCCCACCCCATATATACATATATATATAAATATACATATATATATACATGGGGACAGGCGATTTTATACCCTCTGAGGACACATTAGTAAAACGACACAGCTGCTGCCTTCGCTGGCTCTGTCCAGCAGCACGGACTGAGGCTAGCCTAAAGCCCATGACCCAGCACGAAGCGGAATCGCATCGCGCGCAGTTCGCTCATTGTCTGACGAAGTCTTTATAGAGGTACACATAGGGAACCACGAAACGATCCCGTCGACTTCGGACCTGGGGGCATCGTCAAACAGGGAAGCAGAGCGGAGTAAGGGGAACGTCTTCCACTAACTTACCCTATTATATCTAACGTGCACCGCATGCGGACACTTGTTGGCTATATATATATATATATATATATATATATATATATATATATATATAGAAAACGTATAAACGGAAATTAACATACTGGTGCTAGACCGTTTATCTACTTGGGTCGGTGACATCAACTAACACCAGGTTATCAAACTTTATATGGTACTTGCATGTACGCCTTTGAGCCTGGTTTTTCTAGGCGAACCCCGCAATTTATTGATATTGGTGTATAAAGTGGATGCTGTGTGCTAATTATTCACGTCACCACTTTATGTGTACTATGAAACTTGAATACTTCGTCGGCATGCCCGTTCCCTTGGTGCCGCTGACCCACTTGAAATCCTTCTAATCTGAGTTAAGAATAAAAATAGTAAGAGCAGTAGCAGGAACAAAGGTTTGCAGGCGGAGGAAAACAGATGGTGATTTCCGCTGTTTTATGTTTTTCTTTTGAGTGCCGCTACCTAACACCGGTCCCACTAGCACAATGCGCCGGCTTGATCCAGGTATTCACGTTTTGAACCCTCCGCTTGGGGGTTTCTTGCTAAGCCCTAGGAGTCGCTAGTAGCAATAGTGGTCGTCGTAGTGGGAAAAATCGAGGGTATTTAAGACCCTAAAGCACCACCGGTACACCGAAGCACACAATCAACCATCTCTTTCTGCTACAGTCAAGCCCTTGCATATGCTACAGAATCCTACGAGAATCTGAAAGTCTAATCGTTCCTGATCAGCCGCATGTTCTAATTTTAGAGCCGTTGCTGTACTTTCTTTCCTCCTAACCCAGTTCTCCCCATCTCTCCACATCTAGCTCATTCGATCATTTCTCAACCGGTACTCCCCGTTAACTGCCCGCGTCAGACTAAGCGCACCAGGCTTTGCACAGCAAGATTTGGTTTCACCTCCTGGATAGTTTCTTTTGCTTAGTTTTGCAAGTTTCCCTCTTTGACTCACTTAACGCGAATACTACACCAGCTAGTGAGCGAGTGAGAAAGATGGGAGAAAGGAACGAACAGGGAAAACGCTATGAGGCGCCAAGTAGTTCCTCCACTCTTTCGCCGATCGTTTGGTGCGTCGGTGAATTTTGGCCGGATGATTCTTCTAGCCCAACTATTTTGCGTAGACACGCGAGCGCCATTGGAAACTTTGCGATGTTATAAGCTACTGCCATTGCTGCCGGTGAAGAGCAAGCCACCCTCGTTCTCTAGTCTACTAATTTTTCTGCTACGCTCTAGAATATTCAACGATGCCTAAGGCTTGTCATAAATGACTTTATGCGACGCTCACTCACGACGCGAGCAAGAATAGGCGGATGCCTGTAATTTATTACAGCGCATAGCGTTCCTTATATATTATATGGACGATAATGGATTTAAGTTGCCAATGGTCTGCGTTTGACGAATTTGTTCACTACGCCGTTTGTTACCATAGATTCGTAGAAAAGCCATATAATTACAAACAGTAATGATAACAAGTATTCGCTACTGCCATATTCGAGATATTAATCGGTCTTCATACATTTGCCTACTTATATATACGATCCTACTTATATATCGATATATATATATATCGATAATCTCTAGGCGTTCGCGCTGAACATCGGTTAATGTGCGAGCCAATAGGGCCATCTATATATACTGCAGGAGCGGGCGTTAATGCAGCAAAACCAGCTCAACGCGGTGCCTTGACAAAGTATATACATGATAACCACTTGATTTCGCTTGCCCCAATGTGGTTCCGCAATGCTTTGTGCGAAAGGGGACTGCTGATCCGTAACTGGCCATAACCGGAAACGTATGTTTGTCACTCTTTTAGTGAGGTACGCGCCTGTCTATAAGTCCGTTAGAGACGTCGTGCATTGCACTATAAATCAACTCTAGCCAATAATCATACATAAGGATAGAAGGGTGAAATCGTGCTAAAGCAGCTACTCTTCAGAGCTGGAGTGGCTCGTCGCTTGCTTCAACGAACCGAAAAAGGAAGTGATGACGGAAGTTTCCTGAGCTAAAAGCCCTGAGAAGGGACCGACGATAGCCTCAAGCGAAATTCTGTTAACTTTCCGTCCATGTGAATATTCTTTAGAGGCGCGTCAAGGCCAATATACATGAATTCATAAAGATGCACGCGAAAATCGCTATGGATGGACTAACGAATACGAGAAATTGCTAGTAAGACATCCCTAATGAATTCGCACGAAATATATCGCTGGCAGCAGACCTCACCGATTCAAAGGCATAAAGATGACAAACGATACCAATTTACGAGAGAAAGAACCGCAAAGCAACACACATTCACGCCTTTGAACACCATATAAACTGTCTATATATATATATATATATATATAGGGTTTTTTGCGGTTTTATACGGGAGTGTATGTTTTTTTGCGGCTAACTCCGATATGACTCATCGTATAATCCCGAGCATCAAATCAAATTACGATGGATCCTCTATATATATATATATATACACATACAACTTTCCACTTCTGCTTATATTATTCTTGTGCTCGTTCGAGATTTGCTATGCGAAAAAATTACCGGCATGTTTGGTCGTTATAGTATAAGCTCCAAAGGAACTACCTTTTAATTTACTAACAAGTGCTGCTGGAGAGAATATCGTTTTGTTTTACTATATTCATCTACCTTTAGGTGCGATGATCTGGATTTCCGCCTTATACTCCCCAAGCGAATTTTTTGCTCGACACTCGACAACAGTTTCATGAGTTGGTCTGAAAGTCAAAACGTTATACTCAATCGTATACGTGGGGTTGTTGGCGAGTGATAGTTTCTTGCGGCCTTCTCTGACGAAAAACCTGAAAAGAATTGATAAAGATAGGGATTAAAATCATTACGTACGATGTTGTGAGTACTTCGTTAAAGGCCAATCTACATGAGTGTCGGGCGAAATTGCAACGTCGCCCTCTTCTGTCCCCACATATACTATATCCCATATATACTCCCACCCTGATCACTTGCTTCCCTGTTATCGCGAACAATGTTGGTCGATCGGACGGCCTAAGCGAGTGTAGTAGCAACGAAACCAAAAATTGACAGCACCAACGCATATGCGTCTACAACTTTTTGTCAGCTAACCTTCAAGCTACGCACTTTACTGAGATAGGCTACAAGCAGTACGCATTCGGCACGCGGTATAACCCATGGAGGAACACAACTGCTTGAAAGGAAAACGTGTGCCCCGTGTGGAAGATATTTAGGTAAGCTAGTACCGGGCGCTTTCTTGCCAACTAATGTCACTTCAGATCGCGGACGTTGAATAATCGGACGTCCACAAAGCGTTCAGTCGGCCAGTCGAGCTGATGTTGTATATAGCAAGTGCACTATACAACACTGAAGTTCAATTTTTCTTAATACATTTCTATTACAAAAGGTAACAGGAAGAAAGACATTACGATTGGACCTGATTCATTTCTTGATAATTGTTTACCTGTAGTAAGACCCCATTGTACTCGTTTGTTCTTTAGGTGGAAGCGAAAAGAGCGGGGGTTTGCATGGTTAGCTGTTTCACTTTAACCGATTAACTTTCCCGCGCATAAGTTCTCGTTTATCATCAAATAATTCGATTTATTTGGAACAGCTAAAGGTCCATTTATAATTGAACTTCATAAAGCTAAACTTTGTACGCTATTTGCTTTTATCCATAGTACTCTTAGAGCATCGGATGTTAACTGATGCTGGTATCGAGCTTGTAATGGCAACATCGTCCCATGATGAATAACCCTCTCGACTTCTTCTTGACCAACCATCACTTTCTTCGCAATTAAGAACTCAGTGCATCGTCACTTTTTTATTTTTATCGCGTTATTACTACGTAGCGAGTACCGACAAAAGTCAGGACGACTCCCTTCTAATGCCTCCCTGAATTGATCGTTCAAGTAAACGTATTCACTCGGAGACAGCTCGAAAATGACCCGAGATTTCTCCTTTGACCGCTCGCCTATTTATCGACTACTCCAGGGTTACATTTTGATTGACTCAAGTGCAATCAAGCGATCCGTCCACAGCATCAGACTTTCGGATGTCATCAAATAATATCTGTGTTGACAGGTGTGGTCCACGTGGTTAGCTCTATAGACACTTTTGACTAGCATTAGCATATTAGCCTAAAGGGCAAACAACTGTCGATGCTACATCGCGCAATAGATGTATTGCAAAAATCCGCTTACTTTTGATGCCCCCATTGTGTTAGCAACAGCAAAGAATGGAAATAGAACCTCTTTCTCTAGCGGGGTAGGCAAACCGTAGCGTAACAGCAGCGCATATTTAAAGTTAATAATATTTTTAAAATATAGCTATTATTTATCCGACGGTTGTATAATAAGGTATGCAAACAAATGGAATATGGCCATGATCTGAGAATTTAAGACATTATCATTCACCGAATAACACCTCAGTCATAGGGCTTTGTTCGTATGGAGCTAACAGAAGTCTTTTGAAGCATTTTTAAGTCCGAATAATGACACAGATCACATGGTCGGTCATCACATGGCACAGCCCTACAGCATACTTTATAGAGCTAGAAAAATAGAGATTTTGCCATTGGCAGCAGATTTACTAACTATCACAGGGAGTTATCCCTACGATACGCGTTTAGATGGACTCACACATGTAGTAGGCCACTGCACAACGTTATAGCGTTGCGTGTAATGTTATTTACTAGGCATTAACACTTTCTGTAGCACATTTAGATATTATGGATCTGTACACTGTGAATCTCACTAGCATTGATCAACTGAACCCAGTCGACCGTCAACTAAAAGTTGCCCCTAAAAGAAATGGGAGTCCGCTACTGGCTGGCGACTTTTTACCCGGTACTGCCTAGGCCGATGCTTTTCGGTAGCGGAGCGACGGATTGGATGACGATGGCAACGGTACGCCGCCAACAGCATCTCCGAGAGCAGCAACGTTGAACGGAGCTTGGGTCATCAGGAGATATCGAATGGAACAGATGGTTCTGCTGGCAAAAAAGCGAAAGAATCCTGGACACAGGACTGGCGACTCCGCTGCCTGAAAGGGTCCCGGACTGACGGGTTGGCTACGGTTAGCAGTACGGCTCGCGATCGAAGGCAGAATAGCCTGATGGGGTCACAGAAGGCACATTTCGAAATAATCGTGACGTCCTTTACGGAAAAAACGCGACCGTCCACTCTTTGCCTGTCGCTCTATGACCTCGATAATCGGCGGCAGCCGCTGCGCTCGCTGCCGTCGGGCAAGGCGACCAACCAAGCGAACAAGCCACCCAGAAAGGCACTTACTGACCGACCAGCGTGCGATAAGACAACTGCGACGACACCGACGCCAATACTACCCAACTTGCTGCCCCTGGAAATAGCCCGCCGGCGTCAGCAGCAGCAAGGACAACATGGAACACGGACGACGACAAGAACAACCGAAAGACGTCGACTCCGTAACGATATATTATTGATGGCCAGGCAGGACACCGTGCATTGCAGCCCTACAGTCAGGACCGCGGCAAGCAATACTGGAGGAATCAGCCGTAGCAGTAGCGACATTAGAGCTGCTTTCCGCCATTTGTGCTGCCGCTGCCGACGCCAGTAGCTATTACAACATACAGCTACTCATTGAAAGAAAACGAAGAAGCCAGATAAAGAAGTAGGATTGACAGTGGCAACCCAACAGTAGCCTGCGACATTGTGGATGTACTATCTATCGGATTTTGGTCTTCCTCAGACACTAGCAGAGGAAGAAGGCAAGCCAGAGCGAAGGTCATTGCTAATGAGCTCCTGTTCTGGGGCGGCGAAGGGAGCAGACCTCATTGTCGGATTTAGCTCGGGAACATCATCAGGTCGGTTGACTGATTTCGACGTACGCGCTACGCGCAGCTACAATGGAAGGTCATGAAACAAAGTGATTTGTCTACATGTGTAAAGAAAACAAGCGGGTTTGTTGAAACAGGAGAACAGAGTTTCGTTGTTTTGCGGTCGATGCTAGGTGCGATAGGAATTACCTAAATGTGAAAGTTCAATAGTATGTATCACGGTAACGGTATCGACAAACATATAATAATCGATTTATCAGTTGAAAAAAGATCCTGAATATTAGTATGATCAAAGGACAGTCCACCTGGCCTTTAGATTCTCGAGCTAACTGTACGTTTGATATTTAAAGATCATAAGTAGTTATAGGAATTACATTCGGCGAGCTTAACATCAGAGGAAGTCTGCCAAATCTCAATGTATTACCGCTTTCAGTATCACAGAATACATTGAAACGTATGTTCATTATCATTTTGATACATAATGAAGTGGTTAGGTAATGTTAATAGGTACTCTGAAATCCACCGTCCAGCTAGTTTTTCCAGTGCCCAGTCTATCTTCTGCAAGACGCATTGGCAAGAATCGAAGCAAACAGTTGTTGTTGGAACATCAATGCATAGTGATCACGGAATTCTGTCAGAAGTGTGTTTTGTTACATCGTTAGAAGTACGAAAATGTCGATTTTCATCCCATATGATTTGTACATCGGTACTTGAATCACAGCACACACCGAGAACCAAGACGAGTAGTACTCCTTAAGCGCAACATAAACAGCAGCGTTTCCCTACACTCTTACAACTACTACCGTTATTCAGCTTTTAAATCGAAATTCCTGAGTCGGAAGGACCGAATAAGACCGACCGACCGGCATCTAAAGAGCTTGGCGAGTTCATGACTCTACAAAAAGGAAGAGGTCCTGAGCACTGGCTGCGTTTTGGCATCAGCTGAACGGCACTGGTACACAGGTCAAGTCAGCCTTCCGTCTCCCGCTTTCCTTTTTTCAGCCGCAGGCTACAGTATTAGCGTCTTGCGTCAAGCGTGGTTCCGGTATCTGCCAAGAAACTTTTAAACTAGTCAAGCTGGATAACCACCAGCCAACACTGATCGCCAGGTCCCGTGTGCTCCGTCGTTTGACAGAAAGATAGAAGATGGCTGCTTGTCCTGTCGTCTGGCACCGCTGGATACGCTGGTCCGCCACGCAAGCGCTGCAGTCTCGACTACCGGAGCTTCAGCAAACGAAAAGGACACAGAGACGTCCAGGGCATATCAGCGAAGCGCAGGGGAGTTCGTTGATCCGGCTGACCTGCTTCAAATCCGAGCTGGATTCCGAGCGAGCCCCGTACGATCAGCTGCCTCGTTTTCATTGGGTCGCTTGGGTTCCCATAGAAGAAATATTACCAGATATCAATAGAATTCGGTTACTTGGTTCCTTAGATTGGGAGAGCTTAGACTAGCTCCATGCCGCCGAAATGCCACTGTTATGAGGGGACAAGGTGACAAAGCAAGCCGGTGTTTGTTGCAGCCGATGGCCGTTCGTCGTTACAGGCGCGCTGCATCCAGCGAAGGTCACCATGACTACAGAGGTAAGACGCAATAGCCGTACGGCCGTATGTGTGTACGTGTGGGGCATTCATATGAGCCTGTACGGGTCGTGAGATCGCCGTCGCAAGACGCAAGGCGTGCACTAACTTGCACTGAACCACATCGTATCGCCAACAAGACCACGGGAACATTAGTCTCAAAAGGCAGTATTTGAGACCGCAGCGACGGCGAGCGCGGTCCGCCGAGATAAAAGCCAAATGGAGTAAAGAACCGAACGACGAACCCCATTGTGGTGCCAATGCAGGGGAACCGATGGGGTCAGGGTTTTGGGACAGAGCTCTTTTACCCTCTTTCTTACGCTGACGGGGCGGTAATGATGACTACAGAAACACATGTTCGGATACATGAAGACACACCCAGATACAGTCCATGTAGGGCGGCGAGCTGCCTGATGGAACCGGCAGACAAAACAGCGC